TATTACATATTACAAGGGGGGGCCCCCGATACTCGTGGGGGGGCAGTCTCTCTCTCCCCCCCCGTTCCCCCTCTCCCCCCCCCGTCTCTCTCTCTCTCTCTCTCCCCCGTCAAAGCTTGGCCTCGCCGGGCTGTCTCCCCCCTCTCACCAGTCTCTCTTCCCCCCACTCTCTCTCTCTCTCTTTTTCCCCATGTACCGAGGCCCTCGGCAGTCTCTCTTCCCCTCCCCGACTTTCTTCCCCCTCCTCACTTGTGTCTCGCCGCCGCCGCCGCTTCTGGGCCTCTCCTGGAGCAGGAGGAGAGCGGCCGCTTTCGCTTTCTGCGGCTGGCCGGCGAGATGGGAGGGATGCCTCGACGCTGCTCCTTGGACCTCCTGTGCTGTGGCTGCTGCTACTGAAGGTGAAGGTGGGTGAGCGGGAGAGCGCCGCGGGGCCGGGGAACGGGCGAGGGGCGGCGGCGGGGGTGTATATCGGAGCGGCTGTTTCCTCCCCCCCCCGTCCGGCTCCGAATCGAGGCTGCCTCGGGCCTCCCCAGGCCTCGCTGTTCCCCCGGCCGCCTGCCTGCCCGGCCAGCTGCCTCCGAGGCGGCGGCAAGGTCGGCTACAGAGCGTTCGTTCGTGCACATGCGCACGAACGCTCTGGCACTTTCGGGGGGATTTAAACATCCCCCCGATATTTTTTTTTAGTTTTCAGATTTTTGTGCACCCCTGGGGACTGCCCCAAGAGTGCACAAACCTCTCCCTGCCCCCCAAGTGCCCCCGAAGTGCAGATATAGATATCCGCACAGACGGGGGCACTTCACTATTAGATATATAGATAGATCCTGCTTTTCCCCCCGGCAGGGATCCAACGCAGCTTCCAACCTTCTCTCCTTATCCATTTTATCCTCACAACAACCCAGCAAGGTAGGTTTAGGCTAAGTGTGCACAACAGGCCCAAAGTCGTCAGCTGAGTTTCCTTGGCATAGTTTGGATCTGAACCTTAGTCAGAGAACAGAAGGGAGAACTCTGAGAAAAGTTCAAGTGGACTGAAAGCACGAAGGAAAAACAGCTGACATACAGCAGCTATAAGAGACTGAAATTTGATCTGGGAAGTGGCCAGTTTGAATCTTGCTGGAAGTTCTCAAGGTGGCCTCATTTCTATCACTTGCAGTATGGCGATAACGGTGACCTACCTTATAGGGCTCTTTTACAGATTGCAAATATAATATACTTTGAATTCTTAAGAGCAGGGCTGCCATCAAGGGTAGGCTTATGTGGGCACTCGCCGACCAATAAGAGCTGCCGGTGGGCCTCATCACCCAGCCTTAATTTAGGCTCACTGTGTAATCTCGACCAAGTTACTATAGCTTTTCCTAACCTCTCTCTCAGGGTTCTTTTGAGGTATTTGTAATTTATTTCATTTGTACCCTCTGTCTTTCTTCCTAACAGTGGATTATATTCTCTCGCCCACGGCCTACAAAAACCTGGAAGTTCCACGACAGTTAAGCTCGTTCGGAGAAGTGCAACAGGGCTTCCTGAAGGGACTCTGCAAAGTCACCTAAAGACTCACTGGAAAACTGAAGTTTTTCAATAGGCTTTCACCTGATTATGTTTATATCAGTCAGTCTCTATTCCACACTGTTTACTTTGCCCCTCTAGTTTTCAGGGTTTTGGGGCTTCCAAGTTCTGATACCGATATTTCTAGAATTTTATACTGATCGTATTGTTGTTTACTTATACTAATTTTAAATTATGCTATTCTACACTGATGTTAGCAGCTATGTGGTATTTAACTTGCTTAAATCATGTTATTTTTACACTGTTAGATGTCTTGGGATACATTTGCTGTGGGAGAGACCCAATATAAATGTAATAAATAAATATTTTAGCATAAACTTTTGTGAATCAGACCTTACTTCATCAGACGTATGGAGAATGCAGTTATTTGGCAGACACATATAAAGCCAAAGTTACAGACTTGGGAAGGTGGGGGGAGAAGAGGAAGTGTTGTAGGGGACACAAATGCACTGTAAACTATTCAGGCACAAGTCAAAGGGACTGGACAGAGGAGAGGGATGGGGGGAGATGTTAGGGTCTCTCATGGAGTACAGATAAAGCAAAATACAGTCTAAAAAGGCAATAATTCCGTTCAAGTGTTGGCAATGATGTACTGGCCAAGTGGAGTCTGACTCACTAAAAGCTTACAGTGGAAGCAAATTTAGTTGAGTCTTTAAAAATGCCATAAAAGTTTTGCATTTTCATTCGAACATCTCATGGCTTCTCTGCCAATTCCCTGCCACTCAGCAATGCCATGTACATTTTATGGAGACAACATAATTAATTCACCTAGGCACCTCTTTGTTGTGTATTGCAATGCCAGTTCCTAACAGTGCCAATCTGATATCAGGTTACTCCAGTCTAAATCCCATTTATTTCAATGGGCTTCAACTGGAGTAATTCTGCATAGGATTGCACAGCAAAAGGCCCAGTCTATGTATACCTGCTGCTTCCTAGAACAGACAAACAGGGCAAGAAAAGCAGGCAGGAAGAAAAGGGTGCTATGTTTCCCCCCTTTCTCATCCAGATATCTAGCCTATTGAGTCTGGGGACTGGTGTAGCATAGCAGAAAGCAAGTTATAATCCAAGGTTACTGGTTCAGATCTCTTCTCAGCCAGGAACTTGCTAGGACAACTCTCTCCACTTCAGGGGAGGAATAAACTTCTACCCTAGTTTTGAACTGCTGTTTACAGCAAGACAGTTTTCTGTCTTTTGTAAATTGCTTTTAACTTACATTTGTCATTTTATTAGTTGTGCATGCCCATTGTGATTTGCTTTGAGCTGTTACTAAATAAGAAATGCCTTGCATTAAATAAGAATACTGTCCTGATTTACAGGGCTGTTGTAAGAACTACTGTGATGGGAAAACACTATGAACACTGGCAACTCTCTCGGTGTAATGTATTTTTTGACATTCCCATTCCAAACAAACATTTTTAATGCACCTGCTAGCAGTTTCAAAGCATGCTTTTAGTCCTAATAAAAGGCATTGCATGGGTTTCGGCTTTGCATTTTGCTTTGGACTAATAGTTTTTTGCTCGCTGCTGAACATTTACTGGGTTTTCTCCTGGGCAAAGACAATGCCAAATTGGAGTTGCCTCATCCAAGTCAACTCCCAACCTTTTCGAAACGTTACACCTTGTCACAAATTTAATCCCCAACTTCAAAAGTGACCATAAATTCTTCCAAACATGGACAGGACAATTTATTTTATTATTTTATTCTTGACAAAATTTATCTCGTGCTTTTCTGCCCTCACAAGGGCAACCCAGGGGGCTAAAAATGTAAAACACGAATGATAAAACTACACTGTAAAGCTATTAAAATAACCCTCCCTCCCAAATGACATTTTAAAGGGTTTAAAAAACAAAGCGTTAAAATAGATATACAAAACATAAAACATTGTTTAGGAAGGAGAGATCAAAACCGAAAAGTCTTCACCCGCTGGTGGAAGGACAGCAACAAAAGGGGACAGACAAATCTCCATGGGCAGAGAGTTCCAGAGCTCTGGGGCCACAACTGCGAAGGCCCTCCCCTGGGTTACCACTTGCCTAACCTCATAAAGTGGGGACACCAAAAGTGAGGCCTCCGAAGATGACCATAATAAAACTCGCGCAGGTTCATAAGGGATTACTGCCACAATCATTACGCCAAGCTTGGCAGAGAAAGAGAAGATCATCATAAGCCAAGCAACTCACCTCTTCAACTGGGATGAAGGAGCTCGGGCCTCTTCCCAGCTGTCGGGGGATTTTTATCCCTCTGTCCTGTGCGGGGGGGGGAAAGAAAGAAGCAATGAACAACTCCAATCTCACAGCCACCCTCTGCGGCCAGGACTTCAAAGGAAGGGTCTCTACCACAGCACCCTGCCCAGAGGACATCAGCCAAAGGCTCCACGTTATCCCTCCCCCCCCCCACAAAGCAAAGCAACAATTTGGAAGAGCAAGCAGCCCAGAGTCAAAACCTCACTGCTCCGATTCTCAGCCTTCTGCTGATGAGATGTCTTTTCGAGCACAGCCTCCCCCCCCCCAGCCCCCAAAAGCCACCTGCGGCTCTATTCCCTCCGGAGGGACTGCAGCTGCCACACCTGCCCAAAACTGGTTTGCCCAGCAAGAGCGCTGGGATTTTCCACCCACTTTGCCTGCCCCTCTGATCCTCAGTCGAGGAGGCGGCCCAGAAGGGAAAGAGAAGGACAGGTTTCCCAGCCCCCTAAATGGAGCCGTCGAGGTTGGAAGGACAAGAACCCAGTGATCCTTCGGCAAGATCTTGCTCTTCTGTCCTGGGCTGCCTGATGAAACAAGGCTGCCCAGTTGCTGCAGGGAGCAAGGCCTACATCAGTGGAGTCTGTTGCCCCGCCTCTTCCCCCGGGAGCAGGAGAGGGGGATTCTCTAACCTAGTTTCCCTTTCTGGTTCCAAGGACCGGCACTGCCAAGGCAAATAGCCACAGGGTGCAAGAGAGCTGAACCTATCCTGGCTAACAAATTCCATGACTAAGCAAACATTAAAGTTGGGGGAGGGGGAGGCAGTGCCACAAAGTTTTTTGCTGTCTCAAAAAAAAAAAAAAGCTGAAAGTAAAAAACAAAACAAAACCCTGAACCTTGATCTAACTAAAAGGAACCCACCAAAGCTGTTTTCTACCCAACATGCACAGACATTGAAGGTGTGATCATCAGAGATCTGGTAAAAAAAAAAAAGGGATTCTGAAGGAAGACACTTTCTATAAAGGTAATTGTGTTGAAATTTTAATTGCCTGGGAAAGTTTTAGGCAGTTTTCATTTTTCCTCTCCATTCACAATGCATTGTTTATTGGATATATTTATTGGATGTATCTGAGCAGTCTTTATCTCACCCTCCACCAAAACGTGAAATCCAGTTTTTTGAATTCCTTAATTTGTAAAATCCTTTAAACTCTTCCATGGTTTCCTGGTTTAATGAGGTTTATTGTATGACTCCAGTTGCAAAAACAATAAAGACAATAAATAAAATAAAATTTGTAAAATCCAGGCTAGTAGATTTATTATACTGTTTTGATTTTCTTGTCATTTCATTGTGTAATCCAGATTTACTGCATTGTTCACTGCATATATCACACTGGTGTCTATCCTGCTGTTCTTATAACTCTGTGAGATGCCTTGCATCTCAAGGCGAAAGATGGACAATAAATGAAGTCAATGATCAATCCTTGCCCAGCATTGCCAAGCTCACCATTGACACCTGGCTCATCAATACGAAGCTCTGCCAAGCAAAGTGGTTTTGAAAATGCTACAGAATGATTATTTCTATTAATTTATTTATATTATTTATAGTCTGCCTTTATCACAGGGAGTCAAGGCAGATTACATATACTGAGTCAGTATAACCAACAAAAATGGGCCATTCCGTAACCAGTGCATTAGGATTTTCGAAATCTGGAACCACCAGAAAGAACTGAAGCATAGCAGAAGTATTCACGTGACACATTAAGCGGTACAGGGGGGAGAAACCACAATGAACCAGGATGGTATTTTTCATGTCCCCAACTTGAATGAGGCATGATTTAGCAGGTTTCTTTGATTTCTGTTCCGCAAACAAAGCAGCAAAAAGAAGCCCTACTATGACTTCATTAGGGTAGTAAGTGTGAAACTGGTAAAGTAGTGGTTAGTGCACCAGAACACATAACTCAGCAAAAAGAATTCATACCCCCTTAAAATTGCCAAAAGTAACTGAATTGAGATATCTGATTTTTAAAAGTTAGGGATAACAATATATTTTTTTAAAAAAATCATATTTTTATCTCTCCTTTCCTCCAAGGAATTCATAGTAGCATGCATGGTTCTCACATCTTCCATTCTAGCCTCACAACAACCCTGCAAGGAAAGTGAAGCTAAGACAGTGGCCAACCCTACCTAGTGAGCCTCACAACTAAGTGGGAATTTGAACCCAGAGGTATCCCTTCCTAGGACAGCCATACCACACGAACTCTTAAGAACAGCTTTGAAATTGCACAGTATTCACTATGAGGATATTAAATGCCTGAAAAGCTACCTCCGCATCACTCGTGGATAAAGAAAGCACTTGAGCAGTGCTCATCAGCAATTCTAGGAGACCAAGCTAAGGCAGCTAATTTTCTTTAAATTAAGAGCTAATCACTTCCCAGAATTCACACACAAGAAGCCACAGTCACATTTAATAAACAACAGCATGCCTACAGTTCACTCGGTTCCTTTGCCTATGTTTCCTACCCTTGCAACAGCTCAAAATGCTCCAGCATGTTCCTTAGAACAATCCTATAAAATAGACCAGCACTTTCTTCCATAATAAATGGGGTGTTGAAGGCCACTTCCAGTAAGTTCCTGATGGAGTGAAGACTTGAACTCAGAAATTCTCGCTACTATGCCTGACCTGCCCACACATATAACTTAGGGTCATTTCAGAACCAGAACCAGCAGCCATATAGTTTCCCTCTTTTCATCATGGAGCTGGATGGCACAAAGGTGTAACTTCATCCTGTACTAACAGGCAAAGCTAGCCACAACCAAGGTGTTTTCATGCAGTTGTCAGCCACAGAATTAAAAGCCATACAAGCCATAAAAGAGTTTTAAAAGCCCTTTGATATTCATTTGGGGAAGGTGGAAAGAAGACATGATGGGTCCATAAACAAAAGCTTTAACATAAATATTACAATAGTTTGGCAAACACCAACTTTGAGACTGTAACCTCATTTCGCTACGTGCAATAGGGTTGCCAACCTCCAGGTGGGAACGATCAAAAATACAAAACCGTGAAGTTAAAACTATGGCAATATTCATAAATTTCTTATTTATCATCCAAATATTACCCACAATAATTGGATTTGGAAGAACAAAGGTCATAAAATGTTTTAGCATAGCACAAGCTCTTTAATCTGTTGAAGGACATTTATAAGCACTTTCATGTATCATATGAGTATTTAAGAATGGTCTTTTGATATTATTGTGACTTGAGAATGGATGATTGATAATCAATGTAGAGATATATGCATTGTATTTATGATAAATAAGAGATTTATGAATACTGACATTTGTCATAGTTATAACTTCACGGTTTTGGATTTTTGATTGTATCGTGGAACTTTCTGGATTGTAACCTCCAGGTGGGGCCTGGAGATCTCCCAGCACTGGAAATTGTCTCTAGAACACAGAGATCAGTGCCTCTGGAGAAAATGGCTGCTTTGGAGGGTAGACTCTATGGTACTGTACCCTACTGATATTCATACTCTGTCCCTTGCCAGGCTGCACCACTAAATATCCATGAATTCCTTAACCTGGAGTTGGCAACCCTCACTCCCAATCACATTATATTTTCAGGGATCAGTGTATTCAAGCTATGACTCACAAGTCCCCAGTTTAAACCTTGCCTCTCCCATAAACCTCGGGCAAGCCACAACCTCCATCTGCAACACATGGTTATTAGTACTGGCCTACCTTATACAACTGGTGTGTCGCAGCCATATAAGGCACACAAAGCCTTTGAACACTACAACGAACCAAGCTAGTACACACATTACACAAAGGATTACTGCTTAACAGGAATAAGCAGTCATAAGAACATTAATATCGCTTATTAAGATTCTTATAAATAGCAAACCAACAATGCAAGGAAGGTGTTTTGACCATTTTTTCTTCCTTTTCTTTTTGGTATTTTTTAATTTTTCATATATGCATGCGTGTTTGCGTGTGCGTGTACCTGGAAGTCATGGCAACCTCTGGTGCCTGACCCCTACTGGGGGCCTGGAGGATATTCAGGGATGTGGCTGAATAAAGCCTGTTCCCTCCTCCTGCCTCTGGTCTTCCAAGGAGGTCTCCCATCCAAGTACTTGCCAGAGTCGGCCCTGCTTAATTTCCGAGATCTGATGAGATCGGGCTTGCCTGGCCTACCCAGGTCAGGGCTTCTGAGCATTTTCCTGAGGGCTGGGAGTTGGCATTAGCCAATTTGCTAGCAACAAAACTGCCTTAATGTGTTCTTGAAAGCAAGTCTAGTCTAAGCCCAACCTGTTAAGCTACTCTGAACACACACCAGTGGATCCAAAGAGTGAGAACACCTGTGCACTGTACTAGTCCAAAGAGGCTCCACCAGATTAGCGCTGGCCATTCTACCATAGGGTTGCCAACCACCAGGTGGCGGCTGGAGATCTCCCACTATTAAACTGATTTCCAGGCGACACATCAGTACACCTGGAGAAAATGACTGCTTTGGAAGGTGGAGTCTGTGGCATCATACCCCATTTAAGTCCCTCCCCTCACCCCACATTCCTCAGGCTCCACCTCCAAAATCTCCAGGTATTTCCCAGTCTGGAGTTGGCAACCCTATCCTACCATCTTCCTTCATCTCCCCCCCCCCCTCGGCCACCGATTGCCAGGCAGTGGACAGGCACCCTTCTATCATGCATGCACCCAGAACTCACCAAGAATCCCCCTTCCCAACCACCTACTCAAAATATAGACTACATTTTATTTGGTGCCTGCATTGGTTTTAAATTACTACATGCTGCTCTGCTCCGAGAGCCAAGTTTTGGGGTGAAATTCAGAGCTGCATAGCCCCAATTTTAAAAACCCTGAGGTTCAGTAAAAGGTTAGTTAAGAGTTACCAATTTCCCACCAGGCCTTGAGAAGCTGGGGGGCGGGTGGAGATCTCCCACAAATCGGGTCCCCCAGGGCTTCTGCAGTTTCCCACCCCCTCCCCTGGGGCCAGTTACTCTTTATCCCCCAAATCTTCAAAAAACTCACTGAACCTTGGCTGACATTTTAAA